GAAGCCAGCAGTGAGGAGCCAGCAGTGAGGAGCCAGCATTGGGGAACCAGCATTAAGGAAGCCAGCATAGTGGAGCCAGCATTGGGGAGCCTGTTTCTGATGACCCAGCCAAGCATCAGTCTCTATGATATTCTAAAGGAATTTGAAGGAAATGTCCCTCTCCATTGGCATCCATATAGGATGAGGCAAGGATGCCTTTTATCTCCTCAACTCTGCATCTTACTTACGGAACACCTTGCAGCAGCAATTGAGGTAAATGACGCCATTTAAGAAAGGGCCAATGGGAAGCCAGCATTGGGAAGCCAACACTCAGGAGCCAGCATTGAATAGCAAGCACTGGAAAGCCAGCATTGAGGAACCAGCATTGAGGAGCCAACATTGAGGTAGCATTGAAAAAAAACAGCATTGTGGAACCAGCAATGGGGAGCCTTCATTGGGGAGCCAGCAATGAGGAGCCAACTTTGGGGAGCCAGCAATGAGAAGCCAACACTGGGGAGCCAACATTGAGCAGCCAACACTGGGGAGCCAGCAATGAGGAGCCAGCAATGAGGAGCCAGCACTGGGAAGCCAACACTGGTGAGCCAGCACCGGGAAGCTAGCATTGGGAATCCAGCAATGAGGAGCCATCACTAGGAAGCCAACACTGTGGAGCCAGCATTGAGGAGCCAGCATTGAGGAGCCAGCATTGGGGAGCCAGCGCGAAGCCAACACTGTGGAGCCAGCATTGAGGAGCCAGCATTGAGGAGCCAGCATTGAGGAGCCAGCATTGGGGAGCCAGCGCTGGGAAGCCAACTTTGGGGAGCCAGCATTTGGGAGCCAGCATTGGGGAGCCAGCATTGGGGAGCCAGCAATGAGGAGCCAACATTGGGGAGCCAGCACTGGGAAGCCAGCATCGGGAAGCCAGCAATGAGGAGCCAACATTGGGAAGCCAGCATTGGGAAGCCAGCAATGAGGAGCCAGCATTAAGGAGCCAGCATTGGGGAGCCAGCAATGAAGAGCCAGCATT